CTGTTTGAGTTTTAGTTATTAAAGATGTAGTCAAGTTGACAACCAAGATCAGCCATCAGAAGTCCATCCCAACTTGACACACAATCACATCTCCTTCTGTCATGGCCAATTTCCAAATGAAAGCAATAGCAAGGTCATAATTCCACCTAACATGATATAACTACCCTATGTGCAATTGTAAATGTATTAGAGGTGGCAATATCCCTTAGTGTCTTATAGCTTAAATGCAGTAACCATTAATATGATTTCATTTGATATTACATGATAAAGAAACAGGAACACAAATATCACTTAATGTAAATATATATAATGTACAAATGTATTCCTTTGTTTTTGTGTTTTTACATCCCAGCACAAACTCATTCTTAATATAATAGGACAGAAACACTCGTGTCAATTGCAATTTATTTTTTTGTCACATAGCTTTAGATGATATTTATTCATAACTACCTTCTTCTACTACCCATTCTGTATTTCTTCTGTTCCCAGCAAGTACCTCAGAAGGTCTTGATTTTTTTTTTCAGGAGGAGTGATCCATACTTTCATTCTTGGGGGTTTAGGCCCTTTGTCATCCTGCCTGGATTATGCTGTTATAGTTTCATATTGACTTTAACCACTGACATGCTAGCACCAAGAGACACCCTAAAGGATCTCCTATACTCCAGATACAATCTTCCTTACCTCCATTGTGGAGAAACAATCCAATGTCTTCCTGGTAATCTGGGATTAAGGGGGTCAGAAACTCAAAGTGGCCAGGGAGAAATCTGAGCTTCCAGTTCAATGGAATGTTTGTTGTATCTCTTGGCAGGAGTGCTACTCTATCTGGATCCAAAAATTCTAGGCCAGCAGAATTTAAGGTCATGGAAACAGGAAGCAAACATTTTTCAGATGGGTCACTGGGGTTGATAGAGAGGGAATTATTCCCATTTCCATCCCCTTGATTCCTGGACCTGTGGATGCTGGTTGTGGGGAGAAACTATACTATATATTGGACGATGATTCAAAGCATATACCATCTTCTGGAGAACCCTGACCTAGCCATCCAGGCTGCTGCCACCTAGTTGGTACCGTAACTGTATCTTCAAAAGGCTGTTCCACCATTCTATCAGGGCAGCTGCTCCAGGATGATGGAAAACATAAGACCCGTGGATTCCATGAGCACAGGCCCACTGTTGCACTTCTCTGGCTGTGAAGGGAGTTCTTCGGTTAGTAGCAATGCTATATGAAATACATGACCATGAAGAAGGCATTCTGTCAGTCTGCAGATGATAGCCTTGGCAGAGGCGTTCCATGCAGGAATAAGTTATCTATTCCAGTGTCAGGTGTTCTGTGTTGTACGGGCAGTTCAAAGACAGAAAGTCACTCCAGAATGTAATTTCAGACTCTCTTGCAGCAGGGAGGAACAGTTCCTGTGAACTGAACCTCAAACCTCCAACGAGAAGCATACTTATTGATTGTATACAAAGGTTGTATTTAGGGTACAACAAGTTCCTCATACCAAAGCTCCTTTTATCTTTTCTATATGTTCTCTGAAGGAAATCATCACAGCCTGTAACCTTTAGTCCTTATTGTGTAGTGTTTGCAGTACTCAAGAATTCAGTACACTCCAAGTGTGCCTGGATAGTCTTGTGACTAAAGAAAGTCATGCAATGGATGAAAACCTTCCTCAGAAAAACAACTCTACAAGTCATAGAAAACAATCACTGTTCTCTGATTTCTTCAAGGTCTAGTTAACTTCAACACATGCTAATACATTCTAATGTTACTCTAGAGACAAACAACTGTTACATTCGAATGTTTACCATAGATACAATGACTCTACTAAGTTCCCACTGCAAATAAGGACAAAGAGGACATAGCCTTTCCATGAAGAAAGTGACCTAGTCCCTTTCCTGGCTCTTCTTTAAAGGGTTGCCGTCTGTCTGTGCTAATGGACTCCCCCCCTGCACTTTTTTGTTGGATTCTGAGTAACGAATCAACTATTCTCAAAGAATGTTAACTGGAAAACTGGATGTGCCCAGAGTGATCTGGGGCAAGACAGGGCTGCCAGCTCATACATTGCTGATACCACTAGATAGACATTCTCTCCAGAGTTACTTGGGGACGTGTTTTTGGTCATTCCTGCTAGACTTATCATTTTTCTTTTCATTAAAGCAGGTCAGCTTGGAAGAGAGAAGCTCTGTTACTTGTATTTCTTGCTTCAGAGTCTTTGGTTTACTGTGTGCTGTGTTGGTCTCTGCTCTGTTGACTGATCAGCAGTCCTAAAACTGATTCTCAGATTTCAGTTTCCTGTCCCCTCTCCTCACTGCCTCCAGGCCAATTTGTTTGGGATAAGGTGCAGGATCTTACCGAACCTGAGAGGCTCCTGGTCCTTTCTTCTATGCAGTTACCTCTAGCAGCTCAACACATTCTCTTCACAAGTTCTCAACTTCACAGAAAGAAAACTTAGGAGGGAGTAGGGAGGTTTGGGCCTGTTACATCTGTTAGTAGAACACTGCTTAAAGATTAGGGAGAAAAGCCTTTAAGACAGCAACCTCCTCTAAGACTGGTGAGCTCCAAATGTGCCCTGTTATTTATGTGTAGATGATTGTATTCTCCAGGGGTAGTTTACATATAGTTAGGACCTTACTCATTATCAGATTATCTTATCCTGTTTTATATCTGTGAAAACTCAAATCTAAAGAAGCAAGCAAATCATTATGGTTTAGTTAAAATCCAGTTTGAACTCATATGTGTGATTCATTAAATCAATTTGGTGTGGAGTTCTAAGCAACCTTAAGAGAAGAAAGAAACTGCTAGTAGGAATGCCAGATGGATCTTGGTTTCTTTTCTGGCTGCTCTAATAAAGCAACCTGGGGGAGAAAGGGATTATTTCAACTCACATTTCCAGGCCACAGTCCAACATGGCAGAGAAGACACAGTGGCAGGAGACTGAGACAACTGGTCCCATTGCATGCATGCTGACGAAGCAGAGAGTAATGGATGTATCCATGCTGGTACTCAGCTTGCTGTCTCCATCTTATAAAGGATTCCCATCCACGCAGAGATCCCATCCAGTCAACATGGGTCTTCCCACACCAACTAATGAAATCATGATAATCCCCCATAAATATGTCCTTAGCCAACTCAACCTAAAAATTCTTCACTGAGTCAACAACATCAATCCTAACAATTCCCCTTCTTGTCAATTTGATAACAAAACGAATCAGTTTTAAGATATAACCTCCTACCCGTTGTCCCTGCAGGCTCATTACTATATCAAAAAATGTATTTAATCCAATTTTAAAAGTTCCCATTGTATTTAACAATTCCAATACCTTAAAAGTCCAGTCTCTTCATTGAGCACTAATTTTCTTAAGAAAAGTATATACTTCCAACCTATAAGGACACAGAGTAAACAGGGCAGAAAATAATCATACCAAAATCCCATGTCTGATATCTGAAACTCTTAATGTAAAGTTCCAGGCTCTGTGTGGCCTAGGTATCTACTCCTCCAGCTTTGCTGCCTACAGCACTTTCTCTCTCCCCCCTTTCTTTTTTCCCTTCCTCCCCCCACCCCAAGACCAGCTCTACTTCATTCCTTCACCTCACCCTGAAAGATACTCTGTAGTCCTGGCATCTCCAGTATGCTATGGTCTCCATTGTAACTGAGACTCCATTTTCACAGTTTCACACAATAGTGTATTGAAGCCTCTATGCAGAGACTGACCTGGCCATATACTTCCTGGCCTCTGCTAAAACTCATAGCCCCTCACCCCCATCTTGCATCTTTCATGCCTTCAACACTAGTATATGGATTATGCTGCCAAGCTCTGCCCCAGCTCAAGAAGGAGCATAACCCCCTGGGACCAGAGCTGTACCAGCTGCTGTGTACTAGTCCTGGAGAAGCATTGGCTAGGAAGTTGTTTTTGAGGAGCAAGAGCCACTTCAAACTAGATTTCATTCTTTTAAATGACTTTGAGTCTTCACGTGCAGGAACCTCGGTTGTGTGCTTTTTGCTACTCCTATAATCCCAGTGCAGTGCAGGAGGCATTTAGACAATGGTGCTGATTTCTTTAACAAGTACAGCTGCTTTTTTGGACACAACCTAAATTGTCTGCAAATACAGCTTTATCCATTTTCTCAGGACGTGGGAAGAATGAATGCAGATACTTTAAAAACATAACACAAATGGCCTCTAGCCCGGTCCCCGATAGAATCTTTGTTCCCTTCTGAAACCTTATGAGCCATGTTTATCTCAGTCTGGGTAGCTCCCACCAGAAAGAGTTAAGCTCCAATTCTAGCATTCAGTGGCTTTTCTAGCCCAGTGTACCAAACTCTTCCATATTCTACCCCCAAATGGGTCCAAAGACATAAGAAAGACACAGTCAAGTTATCAAACTAAAGGCCCCAGTTCTAGACACCAGTTTCTGTCTTAGTTTCTCTTCTGTTGCTATATGAAACACTCTGACAGAAGCAACTAAAGGGAGAAAGTGTTTAAGTCATAGTTCCCATTAAAGTCCATTCAAGGTAGAGAAGGCACAGTGGCAGATGCCTGAGGGAGATGATCACTTTATATCTGCAGTCAGAAGAAGAGAACAATGAATGTGTGCATGTTAGTAGTCAGCTTGCTATTCCTATCTTATACGGGATCCCTTGCCCAAGAGAAGGCCCAGATGAGCCTCACATCAATTAATGTAATTAAAATAACCCTCCACAGTTCAATCTAGATAATCCTTCACTGAGATTCCCTTCCCAGGTGACTCTGGTTAGTGTCAGAAAATTAACACTAATCATCATAGCACATCATTCTAATCTGCTTTCCATCTGTGTATTTCCATCTCTTAGTTCTACATTCATTATTCATCAATCCATCCATCCATCCCTCTTGAATGAGCTAACCCCTTTCTCTACTTATCCAGTGAATCTGCCATTGTCTTAGTTCTTCTGTTTTCTGTGGACTGGTATACTGTGCTTCACGTTTTGATTTCTCTAAAGAATTGTGGAAATATTTTCAAAAAGTCTTATTTGCACTTAACATTTATTCTACCTTTCCTCTCTTATTCTCCTTTATGTAGTTTCTAGTCACTCAGCACAGAAATCAATATGCATTTGAATTATTTACTTTTTTTCAGGCTGAGAGACAAGACTTGAAACCAAAGAGTTAACTCCAAAGTCCAACATTATTGAAAATTTGCCCTATGGGGTCATAATGGAAAGGGAAGATCTCTGGCATTCAGCTTTAGGGGCTGTCTGGGACCCATCTTGTTGGTTAGAGGGGCAAGAGGAAAGATATCTGGGCCAAGTGGCAGCGGCCCAAAAGGAAACGTTTAATGACAAGAGGGTATGTGGAGGTAATAAAACTGAAAAATGTTCCATTGAAGGTTCAGTGCTTAATCCACAAAGCATTCCTTTGACGAAAAGAACCTACAATTGGAATTCATATGGAAGAAATTCCAAACAAAATTCCGAGTTAATGAAAACTTCAAGAATGTTTGTAGGAAAGAAAATATATGAATGTGATGAGTGTGGGAAGACATTCAGCCAGAGTTCATCCCTGCTTAAGCACCAGAGAATCCACACTGGGGAGAAACCTTATAAATGCAGTGTATGTGACAAACACTTCATTGAACGCTCCTCCCTCACTGTACATCAAAGAACTCATACAGGAGAAAAACCTTACAAATGTAATGAGTGTGGAAAAGCCTTCAGTCAGAGTATGAACCTTACTGTTCATCAAAGAACTCATACTGGAGAGAAGCCTTATCAGTGCAAAGAGTGTGGAAAAGCTTTCCGTAAGAATTCATCCCTTATTCAACATGAAAGGATTCATACTGGCGAGAAGCCCTACAAATGTAACGACTGTGGGAAGGCTTTTACACAAAGTATGAATCTTAGAGTGCATCAGAGAACTCATACGGGAGAAAAACCCTATGAATGTAGCGAATGTGGAAAAGCCTTCAGTCAAAGCATGCATCTTATTGTTCATCAGAGAAGTCATACTGGAGAAAAACCCTATGAGTGCAGTGAGTGTGGAAAAGCCTTCAGTAAAAGCTCAACTCTCACTCTCCATCAGCGAAATCACACTGGAGAAAAACCCTATAAATGTAACAAGTGTGGTAAATCATTTAGTCAAAGCACATATCTTATAGAACATCAGAGACTTCACTCTGGAGTGAAACCTTTTGAATGTAACCAGTGTGGAAAAGCATTTAGTAAGAATTCTTCTCTTACTCAGCATCGGAGAATTCACACTGGTGAGAAACCCTATGAGTGTATGGTATGTGGAAAGCATTTCACTGGGAGATCATCACTGACTGTACATCAGGTTATACACACTGGAGAGAAACCTTATGAATGCACTGAATGTGGAAAGGCCTTCAGCCAAAGCGCCTACCTAATTGAACATCAAAGGATTCATACTGGTGAAAAACCCTATGAATGTGACCAGTGTGGAAAAGCTTTCATTAAGAATTCGTCTCTTATAGTGCACCAGAGGATACATACAGGAGAGAAACCCTATCAGTGTAATGAATGTGGGAAAGCCTTCAGTAGGAGTACAAACCTCACAAGACATCAGAGGACTCATACATGAGAGAACTTTTCACTTACACCTTCATCTTGATTAATTTTTAAATAATAACCAGATGTCATATTAATGTAGATATTTAATAACCATAACTGATGTGGGAACCTTTTAGTTGAATCGCAGTATCATACCAGATAATAAAACCATAGCAGAGTAACCTTATGAGAGTGGAGAACACTTTGGTTCAGATGGTAAAATTTTATATCAGGTTTAAGTAGCTGATACATAAATGATGACTTAGGGCGGAGACAAACTCTGTTGTATCATGCTGAGAATTCTGATTTACAGTTTTGACACTGTAAAATGTGATAGTGCTTAACTGGACAACCCACCAATCTAGTATATAGTTCTAATCCCCTGTTAACTTAAACAAGTCACCCACTTTCATCAGGTCACAGTGTACTTGTGTGGTAAATGAGAGATTTGGGATTAGAAGGCCTCTGGAATCTGTTTTAGATAAAATATCCAAAAACAGGATGCAGGGATTTTTTTTGGTCTTTTGCTGTTTATCTGTGCTTTGAAGATACTTTTATTTTATATTGTGGTTTTCTTGAATGTTTTAGATTAAAGTCCTCTACCTCAAAGTTCTATTGTCCTTCAAGTTCTCCCTTTTCCCTACATTTCTCCTAAAATGTAGGCTAGTTACTACTTGGTGGTAGATAAATTGAATATTTTAATGCCATAGCATGCTCTTTTGAATTCTCAACTAATAGTCATTAAACTGTTGTTAAATAAGCTGGTTATATTTAGATGACAGTGTAACTTAAAATATAATTTTTAAGTACTTTGTGTCTTACTGACTGTCATGGAAATTTAAAGACATGTGGGCTGAATACTAATTGTGCAGGGTAGTTTTATGTCAATTTAACATAAGTTAAAGTCATCAAGAGGAGGGAACCTCAATTAACATCTCCATAAAATCGGGCTGTAGGCAACTTATAGGTAATTATTGCCTGTTAGCCATTGTGGGTGGCACCATCCCTGGGCTGATGGTCCTGAGTTCTCTAAGAAAGCAGGCTGGGCAAGCCAGCAACAGAACTCCTCCATGGCTTCTGCATCAGCTCCTGCCTCCAGATTCCTGCTGTTTGAGTTCCTGTGCTGACTTTCTTCAATAATGAACAGTGATGTGGAAGTGTAAGCCAAATAAACTCTTTCCTTTCCAAGTTACTTTGGTCATAGTGTTTCATCATAGCAGTAGAGACCCTAAGATGATAATAGACATAGGAATTCAGCAAATTAACAAAACCTTTGCAACTCAAAACATACTCAGGAATACCACAGGGATAGTTTATAGATCATGATAATAGCTGATTTATTAAATGCATTGACTGCAGGCTTCCTGGGTGGCAGAGAAACAGTCTATGAAGAGACAAGAATGAAACTCCATTCATCCCAACTTTGACACCAATGCTGGCCAAAACCTCCAGAGTCTGACATTTTAGCCATATTTAAGCACAGTGTGATTTTGAAAAAGGGGGTTTTCTGATAACAACCCAGTCCCTAGAGTACATATGCTTCTTCCATAAAGATGAGTCCTGTTGACTTAGAAACTGCCCAAGATAAGGGTCTGAGGAGAATGACTAAGGTAAACAATGCCTGTGGGAGTCAGGATTTGGCCTGGCCCTCAGATAACATAAGTCACTTAGGTTGTTGTAAAGTATCAATGAACAAGAAAGAAGAGTCTAGAGTGATTTGAATTTCCTATTTGGGCGAATTGGATTTCATAATTATAAACACATAAATTGCACCAGTTTTGTAGGACAGTGATGGTCTCAGTTCCCCTTACAGCCTTCAACATCTGGTTGTTAAGGGGCCTTCATCTGGCTCTTGATCTTGAAGAAAGGAGGGCACCCTGACAGTTGATAAATCCTAAGGACATAATTGAAGTGAGTAGGTCATTTGCTTATATTTACACTTACTTAATTGGCATAGCTCAGTTGTCCCCCAAACCACAGGCTTGATTGAGTACTTACCCCAGGCTGCAGACTGGAATAATGATGTGAGTGCAACACTTCTTACTCATGGTACATAGATCAGTTTCAAGAGTTCCAGGAGGAAGGACTGGCAGTCCCTGTTGCTAAGTAGCTCCTAGCTCAGGGTGCCCAAGGGAATGAGCCAGCTGATGCAAAGGAACAAAAATAATGGAAAGATGGCTCAAAGAAGCCAGCACATCTAGGAAATCAAGAGCTTGGTGGTTTGAGTATATAGCAGTCAAAGTGACAGGAAATTTAGCCAAAGGAAGATGCTGCACCCTACAAAGATGTTAGTGGGCTCTGCAAACCAATGCTAAGAGTATGAAGAAGTGGCCACTCTCTTGAAGAAATCAGACTGGTCCTATATAAACATTCATTTCCATATCCATAATTCATAGTGGGAGCAGACAGGGAAACAGTTTTGGTTTATCCCAACCCTTTTCATTTTAGACTGGATTCTAATGAAAAAAAAAAAAAAAAGTTCATGAGAGAAACAGAGGTTGCCCTGGTGAATGCTGAGAACAGTAAGTAAAGCTAGTAAGGGAGTCCTAGCTACAGCCAGAAGGTTCTGGGATTATATGTCAAAAGTGTTAATGTGCTTGGTTTGGGGTTTTGTTGAGACAGTCTCATCCAGACTGGCCTTGAACTCAGAGTGTTGCCAAGGAAAACCTTTAACTTCTGATCCTCTTGCTTCTACTTTCTGGGTGAATTACAGGTGTACTGCAAGTTTGCAAGTTTACACAGCACTGGGTATCAAATGCATGTATTCATGTAAGCACTCTACCAATTCAGCTACATTCCAGCCCTGTTTAGAGGTTATAGGCATAGGCCTACACACACACATATACACGAACACGCACACTCGCACAGGATACCTGTAAGGTATTCACATCTTAATGATTTTCACTAGCCCCAGCAGAAATAAATCAGATAAATGAAAGTTTCACTTCTTTTATTAGAAGTTTTGTTAGACATGTCTCTTCCAAGCCAGCCTGAGCAGCCAGTGTGGTTGTCTTTGTAACTTTCTTCATCAGCAAGAGTAACATTCCTGGTTCCACCTACTTCACATGCTGGGGCATTTCATACATCAGTGCCTATTTCCTCATTTGTTAGTGGTGTAAACCTAAGTGCTTTGGGTTGTGTTAGATAATAAAGTGCTTAGGAAAGTGCCTAACACAATTAGTACTAAAGGACTTCCAGGATCTACAATCATCTAGGAGAAACACTAGGCTCTCAAAGCAAATGTCTTAGAAGAAGGTGAAAGAAAAAATATTGGCTCAGCACAAAGATTTACTTGCTCCAGAGGGACAAGGCAAGGAATAAGAGACGAAGACAGGAGGAGATAGATGATGAAGGAGAAGGGGAAGGGGACAGGAGTATTTGTCCTGGAGGGACAAAGGGAGTGACTGCATCTAGATAGAGAGGAGACAGTCGTGGCCCATAGGCAAATAGCAGTTTATAAAGGTACAATGGGAACCCTGTGTTGGGACGAGGTGTTTAATTTTAATTGGGTGTATTAATTAGGTGAGGGTTTCTCATTGCTATACTTCAATACTTTGCTAGCTGGACCTCTTCTGGAGTAGGAAGAGGTCAAATAAGGGAATAGATCTTGGTGGCTAGCTTTAGGAATACAATCTAACAGTTTTTAGCAAGACAGAGGGAATTAGGGAGAAGGGCTAGGCCTGCCAGAGCCATGCTCTTCATACTCAAGCTGGCCAGAGTCCCTTCAGAAGGAATATAATGGAGAGAGGCTATGCCACACCATATGATATGTTGCAGAAGCCTCCAGACTTTCCAGTGTCCTTTCTCTCCATCAACCACACCATGGTCTGGGCTTTTCATTTGTTTATTTTGCTGTTATTTTGGATGAGTTTTGACTGTTCTTCCAATGCTAGAAATCAAGCTAGCAGATGTTTGTTACCACCATCCCTAGTCCCTACCCTGAATCTGTCCTCCCCAGCTGACCACTGTATACAGATATGCTCATCTGTCCACTTCAAACTTCCAGCTCTTTCCTATCACACACAGAATGAATCCTATTTTCCTACCAAGGCTAGACTATGAAGACGTCAGAGTCGCACATAACTCTTATCTTGAGCTGTTTTCTTTCCTTTCCACTGGCGATGATGCTAGTCTTGCTAAGCTTCAAATACACCAAGCCGCCTTCTCTGTAGACAGCTCTTCTCAGAAAAGTAAAATCTCCCAAATAAACCACCCCTGTTCTGTCCATAACTCACTAACACAGCTTTTCTGTTTTGTCACTCCCTGATGAATATTTTCTGTTTGATGGACGTCCATCGCTAGTCAAACCAACCCTCCAGTGCAGGGTTCGCTGTTTCTCTAGCTTCTGCACAGTGCCTGGCATCTATGTGATCCCTAAATGAGAGAACGACACTTTTTAAAAGTACCCGATAGTCGCTGACATTGCATTCTAAAGGGTGGCCAGCAGTCCCTGAAGCGCTAATCCTCAAGTCATATTTTAAATTTAATTGTTTTTACTATTTTGCTGACTGGAAAGTTGCTCCATGAATACTTGCTACGAATTAAAAGGCAACTAGTTGTCTCTAGAAGGAGGCCCTGGTATGTCACCCCATCCTCGCCGGCTCCACCTGGCCGTCCCAGAGAAGAAAGACCTCCAGGGTCTTTGCTCCTGTCCCTTCCACCTCTCATCTGGGTGACAGCCAGGCAGCCCCACTACCGCCACCTGCGCTGCACTGAGGGGCAACCGTGAGCTCCTGCTTGGTCGCCACATGGACCTAAGTGCCTGTCGAGAGCGCAATCCTGAGGGTCTCTTCAGTCCATTCCCTGCCGCTCCGCTCCGCTCTCCTACCGCGGAGACACAAGGAGTCTCCACTGTATCCGACAGCGTCCCTTCTCCCCGCTTAGTGATAGGGCGGTTCAATGCCCCCGCGGAGGCTTCTGGGAACTGTAGTTCTCTTTTGCTTTCCGTTCGCCCTCTGGGAAAAGGAGTCTCGAAGCCCTAGAGTTGCAGCACCAGTGATTTGTGGAATTAGGGTCCCCGGCTCCCAGAGCAATGCGCAGGCGCGATTCCGCTTCAGGCTGCAGGCTCCAGCTCATTGTGTCCTGGCTGTTATGTAGCTGCTATGCTCTGTCGCTGCGATGGAGGCGCCTCGAAGGGTAGCCCCACGGTGACCAGCTGCATCCAGAGCCAAGCGGGAGGGCGGCGGTCAGGTCTGTCATGGAGGGAAGGGGAAAAGGGATGCCGAACCAGGCTGGGTTGTGGTCCATTTTAAAGGACAAGGGTCCCATGCCCTTAACATCGCAGTATCTGTACTGAGATTTGACTCCACACAGAGAAAGGGCCGGCAGAATGGTCTTGTGATGGAACTGAGGGATCTGAACATGATTGCATATGGAGAAGGGTGGGTCCGGACCTCTGTCGTATCAGGGGGGCAGACTCAGGAAGGCGGTTGCATCCAGTTGATGAGTATGTTATGTTCCCAGTGGTGCTTGAGTCCTGTCTGAGGAACTTGAGAACAGGGCAACTGCAGTGCCGCCCCTGCAGTGGCGGGTGACTAGTGTGAATGATTCTCCGCGTCGCCCCCCCCCCAACACCACACCACCCACCCACACCACGCAAATACACTGCCTTTGATTCCAGGTCACATATCTGAACCAAAAGGAGAATTCTGAGACCACACAACAGTTTGGCCTGCAAGGCTTCGGAGATGAAGATCTGGCTTGCTTAGCTCCCCTCCCTTTTCAAGGAGAAAGAAGTGGACTCTTCCTCCCCCTCCTTCCCTCTCATCCGGATCAAACTGTTCCAGGAGGAAAGAATGTCTTTAAGACTCCCGGGCTGCATACCTTTAGGGAAAAGGACAGAGGATGGGTAGAGTTTGAGAAGTGTTGCTGGGACAAGCTTTCTGCAAGGGCAAGTCAAAGTGTTTAACATGTGGAATGGGAAGTATGGAGGATCTGACCGAAAGAAAGATGCAAAGGGGAAATGACATGGTGAACAAGTCACCTTAGAGATTAGGTGAGGGCAGAAACTAACCAAAGAACTCATTGTTTTGGAGGCACTGAGGATGCCCGGGATATGAATGTTCAGGCTCACACCCTGTGACTTTTGACCCAAACCTCTCATCACAGGTGTACAGCTGCCTCTAGCCTGAGGCATCCCACAGTTGCAAAGCTCCTCACCTGCGTCCTCAGTGCTTGGTAATCCTCAGAGACCTCACCAAAGAAGGAATGGCAGTCAGCCACCGACCAGCCCTGGTCCAGGTGAGTGGAGAAGGAGTGTTGAACAAGAGAATAAGGTTGTTTACTCCAGCTAGATGCTTTCCCTCTTACTCTGGTCTCCCCCAAACACCTGACCCCACTTGCTCCCTCGCACCCCACACCTCTTCCTAATGGGCTTTGAAGCTTTACATAAGTCGTGTGAATAGTGTACATGTGGGCAGGAGTCTAGCATAGTCTGAAATGAAAACTTTTCACTTTATTAGCCAGTAAGATGGGAGTCCAAAATGGTAAAAACAAAAACAAACAAACAAAAACAAAACAGGCCCTGATGTAGGAGCCAAGAGAAGGAATTTGAACTTTTTCCTGTGAAGATGGAGTTTCCTAGATGCCTTTCTTTCTTTCTTTTCAAGATACTGTGTAACTCTTGTTTCAGAGGACTATTTTATCAGTAAAAATATTTGAAAAACTGTACTTCTAGAGGCTAGGGGTATAGCATTGTGGTATAGGACTTTGATGGTCTGTAAGAGGCCCTAGGTTCACGGTTCAATCTCCAGCATCACACACACACACACACACACACACACACACACACACACAGAGAGAGAGAGAGAGAGAGAGAGAGAGAGAGAGAGAGAGAGAGAGAGAGAGCTGGGCAGAGTAGCTTACACATGTAATCCTAACAAGTGGCAGGCTGCAGAAAGAAAATTGAAAGTTCAGGGCCAGCCTAGGCTACATGGAGAGCTGAAGAGTATTCTGATTGGTGCCAGCCTCTTTGCAGCCAGGTTCATTTGGTAAAACCTGTTCCAATCCCTTCGCTTTTAGGCCTTTAACTTTGTAGGGTAGGAATGTGTGAGAGGTGAGCAGTTGGGTGAACAGCCAACCAGTTCCAGCCTGCTAGCTGCTCATTCTCCTCTTGTTTTTGTAAGCAAAAGAGATTTACTTAGAAGCTGAAAGTTCAAGTTTGGGTAGCCATGGGTACCCAAGGCTCTGTGCTGCATTATATGTAGTAAATGGCCTCACAAGGCCGAAAAAAGTGTGTGAGGAGTGTTGTATGGTAAGAGGAAACAAGAAAGAGTGCCAGAGGTGTTAATTCACTTTATAACAACATGCTTATTATAGCAAGAGACATGCCCCATCCCTCACATTCCCACAAGAGGTGCAATCCACCCTTCAGAGAGTGGAACTCACATAACTCACTCACTTCCCATATAAGGCCGCCTCTTAAGATTTCCCGCTCCCAATACACATACACTGGACACCAGGCACACGGGTGTGGGAGGAATGAACCATATCTGAAACAAAACAGTTAAACACTATTTTTGTTGTTTACAGGCTGCCATGATTTGGCTGCCATCGGGCAGACATAACTTAGGGATATAAAAATGTGCCAGGTCTATGATCTATGTTAGAAACCTGAGATGAGTAACAGCTCTTGATAAATCAATTCCTGGTTTACCTTAGCCAGTGTCTCTTGGCTTCTTTGAGGGTACTGAGGCTTTGGGTACAGGTAATGACTGAAGTTAATTAAGCTCTCGTAAGCTAAAGCAGGCTTTTTTTTTTTTTTTTTTTTTTTTTTTTCTTCCTCGGTGCACACTAGCTCCCTGTGAAGACCACACTAAGAGAGGTGCTGTTTCCCATGCTAGACTTCAGGCTCCTGACAGAGACTCTTTCTGTCCTTGTTCAGAAATTCCCAGGAACGGATGAGTTATGATCAGAGAAGACATTGTGTGTGTGTGTGTGTGTGTGTGTGTGTGTGTGTGTGTGTGTGTGTACACTCATACAGGTGTTGGGTGGGTAGATGAGCAGTCGAAGAAAAATAAGACTTATTGAAAACAATGGTCTTGTGCCTTCTGAGAAGTGCATTGTGAAGCCGTTCATCTTATGTGAGCACAAAGGGTATTTCTCCCAACCTAGATGGTGTCGGTCAGCCATTCAGTCTGGCCTCCTAGTATATGTAATCCAGAGTTGTGGAAAACATGAAACACATGAGGTTGCTGCTGGTGAAACATGCCATACTGTTCTACAGTAAAGGTTTCTTGAATGTATTGGAGTATACTCTAAAATAATGATTTAAAAGAGTACAATAGGTGTATCAGCCAGGCAATGGTGGCGCATGCCTTTAATCCCAGCACTTGGGAGGTGGAGGCAGTTGGATCTTTGTGAGTTCGAGGTCAGCCTGATCTACAGAGCAAGTTCCAGGACATGCTCCAAACAAAGCTACACGGAGAAACCCTGTCTCAAAAAAAAAAAAAAAAAAAAAAAAAAAAAGTGTGTCAATGTTGTTTGCTATCATTATCAAGTGTTAGCTGTTGTACAATATTGTCTGCATTATTCTTTTATATTACTACTAGCCCAGTATGTTTATTTAAACCATCATCACTACAAACATGGAAGTACGTGTTATGCTGACATTACACCATCTACACTAAGGCTGTGAAGAGGGACAGGAGATGTTGTAGGCAAAGTAAACAAGTTCACAGACTCACTATTTCTCTATAATTGGTGTCAAAGTGGGAGGCAAAGTATGTTTTCAGGACAAAGTTCAACCACTAGGAGGGAGATGCTGAAGAAATGCCTACTTTGTGCCCAAACGCCAGTTTCCTGCAGGCCAACGGTCCCCATGAGCTGCTGGGACAGCCAGTACCAGCTTTCCTGTGGTATCTCCTGGTTGGTAAGAAAGGGCTGTCTGTTACAGGACTTGGTGACCTTCAAGGACGTGGCTGTGCTCTTCACACAGGAGGAGTGGGGGCGGCTGAGCTCTGCACAGAGGGCCTTGCATAGGGATGTGATGCTAGAGAACTACAGCAACCTGGTCTCGCTGGGTAAGCTGGACACCACAGCATTTGCCCTCAGCTTTGTGGATTTGCTTGGACTGCCATACAACATATTGGGTTAGAACTGGGTGTGCTGATGTACTACCTTCATTCCTACTATGTGTCTGTCTCCTTGGTGTCCCTAGAGCTCTGCTGAAGTCCTACCTGGAGATGTGTCACAATTGAGAGGGGTGTGGGAACAGAACTTCTGTGTCAGGCCCAAGCCATCCCACACACAAACATGCTTGGCCTCCTGTCTCATCACCATTTCCAGAAAGTTCTGAGGACCAGGTCCCATCCTTACAATGACTTTTATCTCCATTATAAACAGAATAGGTCAATTTTACTTCCTCCTTCTAAAACAGGGCTCTCAGGATCCAAACCAGATGTGGTTTTCCACCTGGAAAAAGCAGACAGATGCGTATCAGAGGGTGCTCCAGATTGCTTTGTTCTTGGTAAGAGTCACACATATGGGACATTGGGAGGAGTCTAGTCAGTGTGGCAGGCCTGGGTCATGTTGCCCCAGCATACTTATCCAAACTGGCAATTATTATGGAAGTCTGTACATGTCTGAGCCTTCCTTCCATCATTTCTTTTCTCTTTTTGTCTCACATAAATCAGTAGTCTGGGGCTGGAGAGGTGGCTCAGCAGTTAAGGGTGCTCACCCCTCTTCCATAGGACCCAACTTCAGTTCCCAGCACCCACATTGGGCAGTTCACAGTTCCCTGTAACTCCACCTCCAAGGGATCCAACAACCTCATCTGGCCTCCATAGGGACACTACACACACATTCATACACATAAATGAAAATAAATGTTAAAAGTTAGCAGTCCTCTTCCCCCGCTCCTATTGGAGCGGCCTATCTTAAATCCGACGTGCAGGAGCTGCCTGTGCTTCTCTAGTGAGCAGTCCCTCGGGGCTCTGGAGACAGGTCTGTGCTCGCTGAAGCTCTTCTGTTTCTAGCAAAGCCCCACACTTGTCCTCACCTCTCTCTCTCTTTTTCTCTAACCGCACTAAGTATATTGAGCCAGCATTTACCTGCCCTCCTGTGCCAGGCTCTGTGCTTGGCTACAGGAGCCAGAAGAGCCAGGACTGTCATATACTCTGCTTTATTGCTCACACTTAGTGCAGTATGTGGCTGCTACTGAGACTTGTTGCCTGGGATGGAGAGAACATGACAGCTCAGTGGCCATTGATTGTCCTGAGTAGTCCTCTGGGGCTTGTAATTCAGAGACAGGGATATGTCTTTCTGCTACTTTGAAGTAGTCTAGAAAGCTTCCTGTCTTGCCTAATATGCTATAACATTATACTTTCCTGTAGTGTGTTACAGGCTGTAAAATACCTTTTGTGTGTGTGAGAAGGGGCAGAATCCCTTTCTATATAGCCCTGGCTGTCCTGAAACTTGCTATGTAGACCAGACCAACCTTGAACTCACAAAGATCCTCTTGCCTCTGCCTCTGGACTGCTGGGAGTAAAGACATGTGCCACCACACTTGATCTGTAAATTATCTTTTAAGACCTCTTATTACTATTTTTCACTGTAATCCAGTGATATAGTCAGAGTTTTATGTTTTATAGTTGATATCTACCCACCTCAAATGTCTAGGACTCAATGTTTGATGAAATTTAGCTATCGTAATTCAAAATTAAATTTATTAAAAATATTTAGTTTACCACTGATACACAGCTCAGTGATAGGACATGCATGAGGTCCTAGGTCAACATTTCTCAACCTATAGGTCAAGGCCCCTTTGGGGTGTTGAATGACCTTTTCACAGGGGTCACCTAAAACCATTGGAAAACACAGATAATTACATTACAATCCATAACAGTAGCAAATTTACAATTATGTAGTAGCAACAAAAATAGTCTTTTGGTTAGAGCCACCACAGCATGAGGAACTGTATTGAAGGGTCACAGCATTAGGAAGATTGAGAACTAACTGTCCTAGTTTCGATCCCCAGTACAGGGAAATAAAATCTTTAATTCACCACTATAGAATATTCTATGGATTTGTTGTTCTTTGTCAACCAAATGCCTTAACTCACTGAGCAATCTTGCCAGCCCAAAATCTCCAACATTTTGAGTACTGACAAACCAGCACATCTGACCTCAGATGACAGGTCGCAATCAGAACCCAGACACTGAAACGATTCTATAAAATTACGTTAGCTTGTGTGTATAAAGTATACATAAACATAAGGGGGTTTCACGTTTAATCTTGGGCCCCATCCCCAAGGTTTTTCATTATGCTTGTGTAGACATCTGTCCCTCCAAAGAAGTGAAACACTCTCTTCCCGGGCAGTTCAGACAGGGCTGCTCAGCTGTGTTACATTTTTCCATTGTTGTTCCCATTACTCTTGGCTTAGCCATGACAGTTATTTTGCAGTTAGCATACACAGCATTGGGTTTCACTGCAGTATTTTCAAACGAAATTGATTTTGTTGATTCTCACCCTCCTTGCCCCATCCCTCTGACCCCTCTCCCATACTCACTTACCCTCCCCACCCTCCTTTTCCCTTTTATGTTGCATATGTCCTGTTGCCCGCCCCTTCTCGGAATCTCTTTCCCCTTCCTTTCTTGTTTCATAGCCTATACCCACACTCACATACGACACATAGAAACATACAAGCTGGGATGGAAATAGTGAGAACATGTAATTTTTCCCTTCTGAGTCTGAGATACCTCTCCTAATATAAAACTTTCCCTTTCCTTCCGTTTTCCTAAAACTTGCATTTTTTATGGTTTCATAAAATTCACTATATGTATACATATGCATACATATATATACATATATAATCACATTTTCATTATCAATACCCATTGATGGACATCTAGGCTGCTTCCATTTGCTATTGTGAATCAAGCACCAATAAACATGGGTGAGGTGTGCTAGGATGTAGAGTGCTTTGGGTGTCTGTTCAAGCGTGAGACAGCTGGGTCATGTGGCAATTCTGTTTTTAAATTTTTTGAGAAATCTCCATACTGATTTCCATATGGCTGTACTTTACTCCCACCAGCAGGAAATAAAGCATTTTCTCTGTGCCTGCATCTTTGCCAACACTCATTCTGAGGCAGTTATTTTTAATCACAGGAAGAAAAACATCGTGATAGATGGTTTTGTATTTTATGTTTTCTGTCCTCTTGACCACGAGCTGACTGAGAGAGCTGAGAGTTAAGTGCTGCATAGAGCAATCTGAGGTTAGGCATTTGTGCTTGCTGACACATTTAATCTTTAATGTCCTGCAAAGCAAGAATGATGAATGATGAATATGCTCTGCAGCTGACCCCACCCAGTGGAGATAATGGATTCAGACTGATTTTATGCTGCTCTCGAGTGGAAGGTTGATGAACACAAACCCACCTGGCACCAAAACTATTGCGTTTTCTTCCCTTTTCCACATTCCTTTTCATCATGCAGAAACCACTAGACCTCTTATCTCAAGAAGCCGCTGGTCATTTTTATACTTCCTTCCTCATTTATTAATCTGTTGTGTCTTAATGCCTCATACCCTTTAGCTCTCAATTCTCTTTTTGGATCGATGAATGTTTGTTTATAACCATGCAGAGTTTCATTTATAATTTTATTTTTATTTGTGTGTGTGTGTGTGTGTGTGCGCGTGCGTGTGTGCAGGTACCCACATATGCAGAAGCCAGAGGATGTTGAGCGTCAGTCTCTCTCATTCCCTTGAGGCACGCTGTCTCACTGGGCCTGGAGCTTGCTGGGTTTTTTTTTGTTTGTTTGTTTGTTTTTGTTTTTGTTTTTGTTTTTCAGCTAGGCTGGTGGCCAGCAAGCCCCAGTGATTTTCTTGACTCTGACTCTGTCACCCTCCTCCCCAGGGCTGGAGTTGCAGCTGCTTGTGGCCACACTCAGCCTTTACATGGTGCTAGAGACCCAAACTCAGGTTCTCATGCACCTGCAGCAACTGCTCTTACCTACTGAGCCACCATCCCCACCCCCATTTATCATTTTAATTTCTTATTATGTCCTTTTGTTCTCCATCTTCAATGCATTTTTTTTCCTCTTAAATTTATTGGCTATTTTTTGTAGAGCTGATATATTGGCCTTCCATATTGTAATTTTATTTCTGCACTTAGCATTATCATTTCTTTTTTGGCCTTAAAATACATATATTTTGAATATTGTTCACTGCCTATAAGAATAACATAATTCGTGAACAGCTTTATGTGCTGAAAGTATGTGCTTTTACTTTTCGATACTGAGGATTGAACCCAGAGCCTCATGCACACTCTACAACTGTGTACCCAGCCCTAAGGAGTTTAAATAATGATAAAGATGCAATAATCATATCCTACCACCCCATTTAAGAAATGAGCTCTAACCCCACCTTGAAGTCCACCACATCTTCCTCTGAGTATACCAGAAAGCCACTAGCTTGGTTTTAAATGTGGTAGTTGTTGTTGTTGGTGGTGGTGGTATTTTTTTTTCAAGACAGGGTTTCTCTGTGTAGCTCTGGCTGATCTGGAACTTGCTCTGTAGGGTAGACTGGCCTCAAACTCAGCTTGAAGTGTACCATCATGTCTAGTTTTGGTTTATTATTACTTTAATGGGGGTGGGGGCTGTTTGCATGTGTGTGCAGTGCTCTCAGAGACCAGAAGTGGGCATCAGATTCCCCTGTGGCTCAGGCAGTTGTGAGTCAGTCCCCACTGTACTGGGAAGGGAACTCAAGTCCCCAGGGTGCTGAGTCTTCTCTTCAGTCCCATGAGTTTGCTTTGTGCCAGTATTTCCTGGACTTCTTTTCTGAGTCATTTTGTTGCTGTGGCAAAAAACCTGAGAGAAATGACTCAGAAGGAAGGGTTATTCCAGCTCAGGTTCAGAGTTTGTAGTCCATAGTGAGAGGGCTCCATTTGGCCCCATGGCAAGACAGAAACGCCACAGAGGAAGGGGGAGGAAAGATTCCACTTCATGGTGGCATGGAAACTAAGGGACAAACAGGAAGGGATCAGGAACAAGACACGCTCAGGAGTAACCTGCTTCCTCCAACCAA